TCAATTTCATTTTGTCAAATATTAGGTTGTCTCATAAATAGTGTCGCTTTTTTTCAACCAAAAAATTTTCATCCAAATCCTCATGCTTTTACATCGAGTCATATACCATTCGAAAGAGAATTGTCTGCTCTACAAAATATCGTGTTCTTCTTCCATCTATGTTCCATGGTTTTCAAATTTTAGGCCTGCGAAATGGGAGGTCCCGCCGACAAAAATTGACCAAACCGACAACTAGCTCTAACTTTATGTTCCCTTCGGAGAAATCAATCAATGATGTACCCTCTACTTACTCATGACCTCTTCTGAACATTCCACCCTTAGGTTGCCGAAAAAGGTTTGCCCTGTTTCTTTTCGAATTGGCCGACCGATAAGCCATGGCAATTTTCAAATTGAAATTCTTCCTCTGAAACGCTATTGTTTTATATCAACTGGTGTATCTTTTGTGAGCACTTCTTCTGCTCTATTCGCTCATTTGTTTTGTTTTGATGTTTGTTAGGAATTAGCTCGAATTTTAGGTTTAGGAGTAAGGTGCTTTGTCCACGAAAGTGACCGCATTTCTTTGAAAAAAAATTATATCCTTGAGGAGATGAGAAAATCAACCAGGCGTACATTCCTAACTTAGTCATGACTTGTTCTTTAAATTCTACTAGTTTTTCAATGTCTCGGCTGTAAAAAATTTCGACCTCGATCTCAGGTAATGGTGCTCGACCGTCGAGTTCTGGTTGAAAAACCAGGTCTGGAAATGGAATGACGCGACTTGTTGGGAAACCTAATAGTGTAATGTTTAGAAGAGGTCATGCATAAGTAGAGGGTACATCATTGATTGATTTCTCCGAAGGGAACATAAAGTTAGAGCTAGTTGTCGGTTTGGTCAATTTTTGTCGGCGGGACCTCCCATTTCGCATGCCTCAAATTTGAAAACCATTGAACATAGATGGAAGAAGAACACGATATTTTGTAGAGCAGACAATTCTCTTTTGAATGGTATATAACTCTCTGTAAAAGCATGGGGATTTAGATCAAAATTTTCTGGTTGAAAAAAAGCGACACTATTATGAGACAACCTAATATTAGGTTGTCTCATAAATAGTGTCGCTTTTTTTCATCCAAAAAATTTTCATCTAAATCCTCCATGCTTTTACATCGGTCATATACCATTCGAAAGAGAATTGTCTGCTCTACAAAATGCTGTGTTTAAACTTCCACATTTTAGGATTTTTTTTTTTTTTTTTTTTTTTTTTTTTTTTTTTTTTTTTTTTTTTTTTTTTTTTTTTTTTTTTTTTTTTTTACTTTAAACCTAGAAAAATGGGAGTCCAGCCGACAAAAATTGACCAAACCGACAACTAGCTCTAACTTTATCTTCTCTTGACAGAAATCAATCAATGATGTACCCTCTACTTACCCATGACCTCGTTTAAACATTCCACTCTTAGGTTGCCGAAAAAGCTTTGCCGTGTTTCTTTTCGAATTGGCTGACCGATAAGCCATAGCAATTTTCAAATTAAATTGTTCCTCGTAAACGCCATTGTTTCATATCGAGTGGTGTTCTTTTGTGAGCACTTCTTCTGCTCTATTCGCACATTTGTTTTTGTGCTTTGTTGAGAATTAGTTCGAATTTTAGGTGTTTAGGAATAAGGTGTGTTTATCCGCGAAAGTGACCGCATTTCTTTGAAAAAAATTATCCCAGAGAAGATGAGAAAATCAACCACACGTACATTCCTAACTTAGTCATAACTTCTTCTTGAAATTCTACTAGTTTTTTCAATGTCTCGGCTGTAAAAAAATTCGAGCTAGATCCCAGGTAATGGTGCTCGACCGTCGAGTTCTGGTTGAAAAACCAGGTCTGGAAATGAACGACGCGACTTGTTGGGAAACCTAGTAGTGTAATGTTTAGAAGAGGTCATGTGTAAGTAGAGGGTACATCATTGATTGATTTCTCCCAAGGCAAGATAAAGTTAGAGATAGTTGTCGGTTTGGTCATTTTTTGTCGGCCGGACCTCCCATTTCGCATCTGGAAATTTGAGAACACCTCCAAAAAAAGGCGGAAGCGACATATAATTTTTGTAGAGCAGTCGCAATTCTGCTTTCGAATGGATAATTGACCCGATGTAAAAGATATTGAGGATCTTAGATATAAAAGTTTCTAGATTGAAAAAAAAGGACACTGAATTATGAGACATTACTAATAAACTTCGTGCTACAAAAAAAACACTACCCCCCAACTCAACAAACTTACGATCCCCCCATTGTACATTGTCCCTACGTAGGGATGACCCTGTTATGATGCTTACGTGGCTCTATCGCTACGAATATTCCTGACTATATCCTGACTATACTTCCAGCTTGTGAGCCACTGCAAGGTAGATCTACAGGGTCTCTAATGAATGAGGTGCTTCACCATCCCCATCTTTTTACTAACGAATTTCCGTCGAAGGATCGAACTTCATTTCTTCGTGGTGCCCTTTTAGGGCCCATTTCGCCTCCCCTAAAGAGTAAAAGTGAACAAGCTTGGACAACCCAAGCGGGTGTGAAACTACTGAAGGTCAAAAACACCATAAATGTTGTCAGTGTCTCTCTGTAATGGGCATTTGAGCCTAAAGAAGCTGTTGTCAAGGGGCTAGCAACTACTAACCCTTCGACATTAGCTACTTCATCTTCGAGTGCTTTTCAGAGAAATACCGTAGAAAGCGGATACTATAACCCACAACTCTTTTGAGTTCACTTGAGCTTATGTTTAGCCAGCCACATACGAAGGCACAGGAGAAGGTAGCCTTCGAGCCCTCCTCAAAGCTTGCTAGCCATCCCATACTCAACAACTAGGTCAGTATCAAGTATTTCTATTCAACTATTCTGATGACAAATGAGCTCGAGTTCAGCTACAGACTCCGCGGAGTCAGTGGGCACGATCGTTGACTCAAGTTGTTCAGTCACAGGAAGGAAACATCCCATAACGAGACCGGATGGGCCGCCCTCTTCGGTTCAACCGCTCTTTCGAACTCGCTTCCCGTCTGGAAGCTAATTTAGTCTGACCCTCTTAGGGTTAATTACAGCCTATAATGACCACGGCTACTCGCCAGGAAATTGACTGAATGCATAAATGTTCTGAAAACAGATTGTGGCCCGCGCTGAGAGGACGCTCAAGCAGGGGGTCAATGGCTTGCACGGAACACATCTGGATGAAAACACTGGCGGATTACGGTAGCAACACTCGAGCTAATCGGGGATTAACAGGTCACTGATCCTGGTCAGATTGTGCATCGGGGACCCGAACCAGGCCACTATTTTCAGAAGGGTCAAAGTTAAAGAACGAAATAGTCGGTATCTATTCGCTCTTTTGGGATGCGCCATGTCCTCGGCATCCATTTGGAATGATTCTTGAATGCTAACGTGTTTTCAAATGGATTCTTTTCAGGTGAACAATGCGATATCGCCCTTCTTTCGCTCACATGTACACCACAGTACTGTAAGGGCGGCGCTGTTTGTGAACTGGTTGATGGAAAAAATGGTCTGCAAACATTGTGGACATAGTCCCACCGATGTGGATGAGCGCTGCCGACTTCGCTCGCTAGGATTTGAAGGAAGAGGGCTGGTGAACATAAATAAGGCCTTGAGCAGGCTTGAATGGCAGCTGAGCTTCAGTGCCGCTCAAAATGGTTGACTTTTTCACTTCTGCCAGACAGCATCAATCGTTTCTTCTGCAGGATGCTACGGAGCCGCACACGAGGTGTCATTCTCTCTCTGGAACCGCACTTCCGGATTTTATTCAGAATTTCCACGAATTATCAGCTACCCCCTCGCCCTGCGCTCGCTATTTTCTTCTATGAAAGCCAAAGAAGCATAGTTGTGGCAAGCTAATGGCCCACGTTGGACCGTTAGAATCCCACCACCAAAGACCCCATTTCTGATAGGACGCTTCGAGAGACGTGATAATGGAAAGAATCGAGTGCATTTGA